GGCAAAGACTCCACTTGAGAGCATATCCTTTCTGGCAAGCCTGCCAGTACCTTGGCTTGACCGCTTTATGATTCGAGGTCCTGGCAAGGTCACCCGTCCATGTAGCTAACTCGGTTGCGCTCGAACGAAGGAAAGCTTGAAGATTCACTTGCACAGCGAGATATTCTTACCCGCCTTCAAGACTTCCGGCCTGTTCAGCTGCTCAGCACAGCATTTGGAAAGCAAGAGCTGCAGCTTTGCAACGCTCGGTCAACACCGCCTGCCCTGTTGATCTTCAAGGTTAATCCGCTCACGCGGGGGCGCTGAGACCTATGTACAGACGCGCAGACAAAGAGACATGCACAGGCGTTGACAGACGCTTAGGCAAACCGTCGCACACACACACACACACACAAAGACCGACAGAAAGAGAGAGTTACATGAACATCGCATCACGCCGGACATGCTTCTTGGCTGACACAGCTCCACACTCCTTCACTGCGTAGCATGGAAGTTACAGTCTAAGTTACGTATGCTGAGCGGATGTCACCCAGCAGCCCCACTAACATAATTTCACCGAATTTCCCTACGTTTGTCCACAGGTTTTGCGCTCGCCTGATCTCTATGTGCCTGTCTCTGTGTCTAGCTGGCTGTCTGTCTGTCTACGTGTTTGTAAGTCTCTCGCGTGTTCTGTCTCTCTGTTTGTCTGCTCGATTTCCTGGAATTTGCTAAGTCCTAAGTCCTCGAGCGAGTTGGGCTGTCGCAAGCATGAGGCCGCGTTATGAAAGTGGATTATCGCTTGCTGTCAAAGACCTGCAGCCGCGCATTCAAGGCCCCGGCTTGTATCCTCCAGCTGAAGCCTTGGTGCATTGCTCCAACCATAGATAATCCCGGTTTGTTAACACGAGGAGCATTACTGCCCACCGGAGATTGACATCTTCATCGAAGGGGCCGCAGCACCAGGCAGGGCGGCAGGCACCTGCAAACACAGCCAAAACGAAAGGTGCGCAAGAAGGTTTTCCTGCGAACGTCATTGCACTGCAACATCTGGAAGCTGTAAGTTCCTGAGGCGTCCTCATCGTACACCGTGGTGAAATGATCTATCAGTTGCTTGGCTTGGCTCTTTGAACGAAGCTTTACAGATTCTGCGCAGGTCCAAGAGCACATCTTCTTGGAGTGAGATACTGCAAACTGCTCTTGCGGCAATGTGCACTTGCGTAGGATGTCCAAAGTGGCAGTGTTTGAACGCAGCGGTGCTTCCGAACAACGCACTAGCTGTCCTGCGGTAGCAGAAACCAAAGTCAGGCCTCGGGCGCTGTCGCGCTTCACACACCTCAGCGCTGCGGGAGTCCTAGCATTTCCTCAGTTGTCGGTATGTTGTCGGGTGGCAGAGGTGCTTCAGCCCAGGTCAAGCCCGTGCGACTGCAGAAGGGACTGTGGATCTCGGAAGCATCGCTGTGGTGCGTATGGTCTTATGCTGGCAGCCTACGAGCGGAGACCGAGCCTGGCCTTGAATCTGCCCGCCTTAATCACCCTAACTGGCCCTACACCAGAAGACTCTGACCGGTCAGAACAGGAACCCTGCAGGAGCGAAATGCAATAATTGGGGGGATGTGGTGCAAGTAAGCGAAGCGACTGAGTGTCACCAATGCCATGCACGAGCCCATGGAGTGAGTAGTGTGACGGAGTGAGCAATTGTGGTGCCAGTTTGCGAGAACGAGTAGTGCGTGCACGCGGGCGTGGGTGGGTGTGGGGGGTGAGTGAGTGAGTGGGTGAGTGAATCTTGCATGTCTGGACCACTGCGCCGCCCTCACTCCTCACTCGGGACGATCCACGTAAGCAGCCCTCATCATCATTTTTACTCTCACCCTCATCCTCACCTTCACTGCAAGCTGAGAGCGCTGCTTTGAGTGAGTGAGCGGAGGACTGCCTGAGCGAGTCCGCGAATTCTTAGTGAGCGCATGGTGCGTTGACTAAGGCTTTTTTGTGCGGAAGAGAGCGAGAGACTGAAAGCAAGACAGCAATAGACAGCAAGTCAGCCGGAATGATTAAGCCTAGCGAGCCCTGCATCAGTTCCTATCATGTGCCCACGAGCAATTACACAAGAGCCCCTCAGCGGAGGCCTGCGATTTTGACCTTCTGGACTCTGATGCCTTCAGCAGAGTTTGCCAGACTCTGGGCCTGAAGTGTTTTGTGACAGGTACCTGCTCGTAGCTCGTCCTGTCCTGCACTCCCGTTGGCTCTGAACATCAGGAGCCACGGAGGCGCATTGGTCGCGATCTTGCGGAAGTTGGCTGCCGTTGCCTGAGCATGTGTGCTCGTTTGAAATCCTTTTGCAGTTGTTGCAGCTCTGCATAGCCCGGCTCACATCTGCTCTAGGTTCTCTTCATCAACTACATGGAGGACGTGGCCAGTTTCCTGCTCTAGCTGGCACATCTGATGGTTCTATCCCGCTTCTGTCCTGACCTTTGTTGGACAGCCTGGCAGGAACGAGCACAGCAGTCAAATCCGATCACGGACATGTCACTTGCCTTTTGCTGTACGCAATGTGTTTCCCGGGTGTGTATACTATGCACATTCCTGGAGCTACTAACCATACCGAGCCAAGCTGAGATACGACTGAGGCCGCTATCTGATGAAGAGTGGGAGTCTTTGCTCGATCGCTCCGACAAGTTGCTCGAGCCGCAGAAAGGTGACTCAAGCATGTCGGTTGCTCACACTATGTCGAGCCATCCTTCGGGCTTCCCCGAGCAGTCTTTACCTCTCACCATTGGACGTCATGATGGCATCGTTTCCGAATTTGAACGTCGTCGAGGCGACTCAGAGAGCCCATCAGTTGAGTGTTGCTGACATCGCTCTGCTTTGGCGTGTCTTCCCTTGTCCATTGGTGGGAAAGGGTTTCATCTTGGTTAACTGGATGAAGACACTAGCACGGTGTTGCGAGCAAAACATGCAACGGACGTTGGCTGGAAGAATAGATCACTTGTTGCGTTCCTGCGAGACGGGAACGACGGCCATGCCCACTAGCCAGACACAACCGCAAAATTTGGTACATGGGATTTCTTACAAGTATGGGCGCCTTACTTCAGGGTCCGGCAACAAGGGTCTTGCTGTTCAGGGCTCCGCTAATCGCCGCGCGTCTGAAACTCTGGGACCCTGTCGGGGGATTCCGGGGGGATGCCACGTAGCGGGCCTTCCAGGACGTCCAAATTTTTGTGTCAGGATGTGATAGAGAGCGACATGGTGGTAGTAAGAAACTCCACAGAGGGGCAAGATCGTGCAGGGCCGCATAGGGCTGCCGGATGAGTCGAAGTTTGTGAGTCGGCGCTCGCAAGCAAGAGAAACAGCATGGCACTGTATGGTGCATCTGTTAAACAGGTCTCCGTAAGATGGCTTGAACCCACCGCCTGATGCTTCCAGGCTCGAAAAGATGAAAACGATGATGAGCTTGGCTTAGTTCTGTGATCGTGCAGAAGGTTCAGTTTGACATTGGATTTGCTGTTTCCGTTGCTTTTGTCACCTAGGATGCAACTGGCACTGCCTCGGCCAGACTGGAAGTAGCAGCATGACATGCAGCCCACGCTCCCACCGCGGTCAGGTCTCATGAACTGTGCCTGCATGCGTAACACCGAAGTGTTCCACAATTGTTTGCTTTGAATTACTTTCTGCGGAGATGAATTCGACAAGAGCATCGCCCGCAAGCTTGAGCTTGCTACAGCATGGGGAAGGTAGGCCGATTCTCTGAGAATTGGGTTCAACTTTCAGCATCAGCTAGGCAGCAAATTGAAGCAAGCGTTCCGTGACATGGCTCAGGATCGTGGGCCTCGTGGCACTGCATGTGCCTTTGTACAGACAGGTTTCTGTTACGGTCCTGCAGCAAGATCCGGTTTGAACGTGGTCGAGATCTTTGTGCATGTGGTCGGCTGGCCGGGCTTGGCACGCACAAGTCTGGCGTGGCGACACTGTCTTGCAGGTGCGATTGCCAAAGCATGTGACATGCTTGTGATGCTTGTGGCCAAGCACATGCAACAAGGAGGCTCTCCTTTCTTCTCAAGAGTGCCTCCTGACAGTGCATCGCAGTGCCGGAAGAGTTGGGTTGGAGGTCATGGAGATATACTCAAGATTTGTTGTCACGCTACACCAGCTAGCCCGGCAGCAGAGTCTTCCTGAATTCGGGGCAGGCCATGCCTTCAGCACGCTGGACCCGCTTTCTGCACATGCCTTGCACCTTTCATGTCAAGAACTCAAAGCCAGACGAGGAGAGGGCCTCCCGTACAGCCCGACTCATAAAGTGCTCAGCACTTGTAGACAAGATTGTCCAAGGCATGTGCCATCAATTTGGTCGGTTAGAGTCTGCCCCTCTACCAGTACTGAATGCACTTGCACACTCTGGAACCAGGTGGCATTTGCACAAGAGGTTGTGTGTTGTGGCATCTGCCGAGGGAAACCCATAGAAACCCCAATCTTATCGCATGTCGCTCTTCCAGGCAGGGCACCTGAATCTGTTCAGGTTTGTTCAGCCCTGCCTTGTCGGCACCTCTTCGACGACACCGCCTAAGTCTTTCAATTGAAGATGACGAAGATAGTTCCGGCGACTCAGTACAGAAAAAGGGTCTACGGCCACACTTCACTGCAGATAGAAACGGTGACTTGACCATTGCCGGAGTTTTCGTTACAAGGTGCATGTTCGAAGCTCAGGCAATGATGTCGACCGTACTACGCGGCATTTTTGAGTTCCACCGCCAGCTTTGCTTGATGTCTGGCGCACGTTTAGCCCAAAGGCTCCGCGATTGATAGAGCTGCCGCCCATACAGCAACAACAAGTGCCGCACAGATGTGGTGCACAAAATTCTTCGCCGCGGTGGCAGAACTGGATTGTTTTTTGTAAGATACTTCCCACAATACCCTACTGTGTGCCCGATCAGCTTTGGGCAGAGCATGAGGCTAGCAATGCCTAAGGATGCTTCGGGATAACAGTGATTAGGCCAGCACCAGGCAACTAAGCACGTTTCCGCTCGTCCATGACTCGCACGCCGAGTCGAGTTGATCATGGTGCTGGGGATGTCCAGGGCCGCATTGACACGCTAAAGCGGCTGACAGTGCTGCTTGCTAGCAGGTATTGGTTGGTGGGTGCAGACCTGCAGCTAGCGACAGTTTACTCTGCGTTGCTCTTGCAGCCTGCTGGCGATATACATGACATGACGTCAGCACCATGAAATTTCCCTCAGGGTAAGTGCTTGGGCTCATTCTGCCCCCTTGCCTGAAGACTTCACACTGCAGGTCGTCCGAGGCCGAGCGTCTTCGGCTGGGGTTCCGCCAAAAGCCAGGTCCGGCGAGGCCGTAAGAAGCCCGGAAGTTTGTAGGCCGACAAATTCAGCACTGCATCAACACAACAATGTGCGTCAAGACCTCCATGACGAGTAGAATGTAGATTCCGACAGCAACATTTTCATAAGATCAGTAGCTTTAAAGCTGAACAACAGCAGGAACAGCACTCGCAAGAACAAGGCTGCGAGTGTGGGTCTCAAGCAAGAACAGCACTGCCAGCACAAAGCAGTAACCACGGGACCGATGTTCGTGGCAGCACTGAGAACAAAATCATGCCAGTGGAGAGCCGCAAACAGGGAAACACCAACCCGAAGACCATGACAATTACGACGACCAGGATACTACCAGGAGACTATCAAGAGACCACCAGGAGACGCGAGGACACAGCCAGGACACTGCTAAATTGATTTCGGTCCCAAGTGCTGGCGCGTTTCGGGAGCAGTCGGCTTACTAAGCTTCCCCCTCTTACTGGTAGCTTGAGATCCAGAGGAACACCCTAAATTGCTTCCCAGTACTGCTGCGAGTCAAGGTTGTCGAGTGCAAGAAGTAATCCATGTCGTATTATTGACAATGAATCAGAACCCGGGGCACGGGTCCCAGGCGAATCCTCTGTAAATAATAGGACGTCAACGAAAACCATGCACCGCACCGTAGTGTGAGACGAAAGGCGCGAGCATCCTGTGTAATACGGGGCCCCGATTTGCGCCATATATAACGTTCAGCGCAAGAATCCCATAGTGAAGAGTGTTAGCGCAATGTTTGAAAACGCACTGGCAGCAGTTGAAACCAATTTCAGGATACAATCTGGCAAGAACAGTAACACGCACAGCGGGTGGACCTGGCGAGAGTCATACACCTGGTATGCACATGAGCGACTCGAGGGGGGAGAGCATTTCCGTCCCTTGGCTGTGAGGCAGGCCTCCTCGGCAGGGCCGATTCCTTCTCGGCCGTTGGACTTGGAATCACTGGACCTGGAAACTGATCACCGAGCAGAGCGAGCAGAACCTTCGCCGGCGCCACATCAGAATCATTGGCTTGTTGCCGGAGCCTTCTGTGCGGTTGTTCTGTTACAGAGGCGGATGTGTGTGTCAGTCTTATCTGGGGCCGGGGTGCACGAACAAGGGCATCGGCAGTGCAGGAATTGCCTCAAGACTTGATGAAGCACTCGGCTTAATTGATGTTTCTCCTGTCGAGGCAGCTCACAAACTCGCGACGGCTGCCTCGGCAAAGCTGCGTGCCGCCCTTCTATTCGAGGAGTCCGAGGCTAGAGTTAGAGAGCACGTTTCTTGTGTGCACAAGCATCCTCCGCAAAGTTGGTTTGTCATGGGGACGCGCTCACTAGTGCTGCTCTTGCCAATCGTCGCTCGGGAAGAGCATGGCAGCGTGAGGTGAGCGCTGTCCTGCTTGAAATTGCCACTTTCCCATGCGAAACAGTTTCATCCGCGCCAGGCAGCTGAAGTTCGCAACTTCCTCGTCGACAGTGGCTTGCAACCCGCCGTTGGTGAACTGTGGAAGAGATGATATGGACAGTGGATCGAACCGCTGTTCAGGTTAGATTCGAAGGTGTTTGGAATCTTGAAATGCATAGGCACTCGTATGCCGATGCCTTCATCGCGAACGGCTTCGACTGCATGGATGTTGTACAGGACTTGAATGGTTTTCATTCGGACAAGCTGGTTCCGCAAAGTTGTCGCAGACGGACGAGCAGTAGGATTTAACAAATGTTGAATGTACCTGGCGTGAGGAGATGGAAGAACGACATATGCGAGAGTTGGGCATGAAGAATGGCCACATGATCAAGCTGAAGTTGCTGCCTATCTCGAACGTCATGTCCACATCACACCGCAAAGCTGACCTGTGCGACAGCACTTTCAATGAGTGCTCGCTGTGCATGTAAGACAAGGCGTCTTGCATCCCGAGCCTCATCCAGCAGCTCGACCGCACTATCCGCTATGTAGATGACTTCAGTTTGCGAGGTGAAGCTGTCAATAGTCGCACCTCAAGAACCAACAAGGCCATGGTTGTCACGCTTGTTGATACCAAAGTGCTAACTACAGTGGGGAAAAGCAGCGGAAACAGCACATCCTTGTGTCTGTCCGTGTATAAGAACACTTCCAATGTTCTTCGGCATGTCCGTGCAAAGGAAGTTTTGGTGTATTGCAGGTATTCCTCTTTGGGTCGTGGTCATAGTCTCCCGCTTTCCTTCAGGTCAACATGCGCTGGTAATCAAGCCAGGCATGGTCGCAGAGGCAATGCAGGATGCCACGCGGTCCTTGTAAATGCTTGTGTTCAACACTTCCTGCGATTGTTTTCATGTCCTCGCAGGAAATTGCCCGAAGTGCAACTCCACAGTCACAAAAGCTTGAGGCCCGATTGGCAGATCACAATCACGGTGAGTTCTGTTCGCCGCAGATGCTTTGGTTTCTGGCGTGTCAGTCTGTTAGCAGTATGTAGCAGGGGTTAGCCCGGGGCTCTGGTCTGTGGGACATGGCCGGTGCCAGAGGTCATCTTGAGCCTGGATGTAGCTGCCTCGAGTGTGATGTAAGCTCGAGTGAGGCGCCAGGCCTGATGCCGGCTTCCCCAATGCAGCCGCTGCAGCCTAGCCGGCTGGTGGAAGAGGCCTCGGTCTCTGACTCCGGAGACATCCTTCTTTTCCGTTTGGAAACTGACGATGTGTTTCCGTGGCAGAGAGCGTTCATGAGGTTGGCCTAGTTTGTGAAGCCTTGACTTAGTGACTTAGTGCGTTGGTTGTTGCTCTTTCGGCAGGCATCTTCGTGCCTCCTGCATGGCGAGCTGGATGAAGCTGCAGAGGTGAGGGCGGCGCAAGTCCAGCGTCATGAGAAGGAAGGCTGCCGGTTCGCAAACCGAGGCTGCTGCTTTCCGGGAGGCGGTGGAGGCCTCTTGTGAGGGCTATCTTTGATTTGATGCCTTTCCCAACGGTCGTTCCTTCGGCTCTGCCCCCGGCAGTTGCTGTAATTTGTTGTAGTAATTGTAGTACAGGGCCGAAGGTATTCAGGAACATTAGCACATCTTGCATGATGTGCGGTCGGAAGCCGACTTCGAAGTAGGATACGCTGGGAAGCTACAGGCCTTGAGAGCCTGAGGCGATACTTGCACCTCTAAGTCGTCCAACTCCCCAGGCCTGGCGCCATGGCCGGGCAGAGAGCCAGGCCGGTGCCGCGGTCATTCGGATGCCCGTGCAGGCCAGGCCCGGCCAGGCGGCCCCAGAGCTGCATGGCACTGCATGGTGCTTCTACTTGCTTTCTTAGGCCTGCAAATCGGCAGGAAGTGTCGCCCAGTCACAGCCCGGCCACCTCCAAGAGGTGCTGCTATCAATGCTATCGACGCCTGGCATTAGCTGCGCTTGAGCCACCAGGCTCCGATGCTCCTTCCACAGCTGCGTGTCACAATAGGTCACGTGCTCAGGACAGTTCCTTGTTCCCGTCGATGATGCCTCGCCCATGGCTCAGCAGTTGTTTGTGGCTCTTGCGCCCATGGCCCATACCTCCAGTTTCAGCCCAAAACCTCCCAACCTCGCCATGACGGGCAATACAGCAGCAGGATCGCAACCTGACTGCTAAATGGATGGAATTTAGCTGGTCTGTAACGCAGTGCAAGCCACTTCTGAGGCCGCAGGGGGGCTCGAGTCCTTCCTTTTGCTCGGAGACATGTGCCGAAAGCGCCCAAGATGCTCAAAGACGGAAAGCGCCTTGTCTCTTTTTGTTCAGCAGGCGGTTAGGTGCAGAGACGATGTGTGAAGAGATGCCACACAGCCACCGGTATTGCCTGGCGGAAAACTGCCCAGGAAGAAGCCAAACAAAAGAAGTTTGCAGAATTGCAGCAGCAAGCCTGACCGCTCGGAATTCGGAAATGCCACAAGCAGAAGATGCCGCTTGATTCACATGGACATAGACGGTACGCAAGCCATTCAAGAAAGCCATCCAGCTGGAAGTGTCACCATCCCATATCGAGCTATTCAGAACTGTTGCTACCTCCATGCCTGCTACATCCGTACACAAAGCAAAGGTGTCATCATGCACTGTGCTAAATGCAGAGAGATAGTGGAAGCTGTGGGAACTCAAGTTCTCGAAAGTCAAGTTTCCATGTGGTTCAGATGCTGCTGCTTGCACCAAGGCTTGAGAAAAAGCTAGCCAGCTCATTTCTCAATGAGGAATGTGTTTCATAAATATATTCATACCGAATTTAAGTAATGGCATTTCGATGAAATATATCGTAGATAGATACGTGTATGTGTAACTCAGTAGATAACTACATTTTTACATGTTTATATGTGCACAGCATATGTCTTTCATTGATTATGGTTCACTATTTTCAGACGAGCTAATGGTAACACGATTTTACCAAATTCGACTCAGTATGAGTTATTCTATATGGTATTCCATAAGATATTATGTAAAAGATATTCTGTAGCGTATAAAGGTATTCTGTAGTGTATATTTAGGAAGGTATTCTATATAGTATATTCTATGTGAAAATGCTAAGGTGCATGGAGAGGATATTTTTATAAGGTAGTTATTAGGATATATTTTTTTGGTTTGCTGATTTATTCATAGGATTTC